TTAAATATATTAGTCATTCGGCACTTACAATCATCCCTTAAGAGATCTAAACTCTCAGTACAAGTAGTATTAAACACCCCTAACTAATGACATCGATTCTGAACTGCTCCTGAATAATCTTAGATGAAAAGATCTTCTAATTAGGAGGAATCTGTTACTAATAATATATTTCCTGGATGGAAACATTATTGTCTGTGATTTTTTCGCCACCAAAAAAAAAAAAAAAAAAAAAAAAAAAAAAAAAAAAAACATTTTACCACCCACAAAAAAAATTAATTCTACATTTTACCACCTCCTAAAAAATTACGTCCATAATTAAATTTGTTAATTGGGCTCATCTTATTACTATTTTTTTTTCCTTTTTTCCCACAATTCTTCATCATCCTCCCCTTAAACTTCACGTTCACCTATTTAAATCTATCTTAATTCTTAAATTAAGTTTTTATGGACGTAGTTGGTTAAGGAGTAGGTAAAATATAGAATAAATTTGATTGTTTAGTGGTGGTAGAATATAGTTTTTTGTTTGGGTGGTATAAGTAAAACTTTCTTTTTAAATTCCAACTATTTATGTTTTATATGCACAATTACTTATTTAAGTTTGATTTTACACCATTTCAAAGTGTAATAAAGCACAATTTATTATTTTTTCACTATCCCAAGTTGTATTGAAGGCAGTTATTGTCTTTTCATTATTTTAAATGAAATTTGCAAATTCTTTGTTATTATGAAATAAATGGGTAATGCCATTCTTTAATTTTTTTCATTAGTTACTCCCACAATTTTTAAGAAAAAAGAACAAAAGAAAATGGAAATGTATTATGCAAGTTGTCCGGTAAAGGCTACATATACAATTGTTGTATGTGGTCCCTATATACAACTTTAATTTGTCATGTTTTTATTGGCTAGAATAATGGGACCAAGTTCCATTATATTCAATTTATATTTGACTTATAATTTTCTCCCCTCTTTTGATGATGTGTCAAATTTCTAATGGTGTTGTATGTAGAGACAACATACAATGGTTATATGTGTATCAACTCTCAAGTTGTCCTTGAATTACTGAAATCACTCACCATTTGTTTCCCTCAAAACAAAATAAAAATAAAATACGAAGTATACACATTCAGCAAATCTTGTGCGTGGCTAACCACGTGGTATGACCATATATGTTTATATGAATTTCTTTATTTATTTATTCATAAAAGTAACGTAACCTTATTTTATCCATACGAGTAACCTTAATTCATTGTACAAGTAACATCAATTAATTACAAAAAAGTAACTCCGTCCATATGTTTATTTGAGTAACCTTTTTCTTTTGTTACAATCCCTCCCTTCGTTTTTTTAAAGTGTTACACTTATCAAATGCGGCCCTTTTCATTGTAGGCCCTATTACACAATTAATTTGTAATATATATCACAAGTAATAAGAATTTGTGATATATATTACAAATAAGAAATAATATATGTGTCATAAAAAAAAATCAATTTAATCAAAGAAATTGTAATTTTGAATATATTAAAGGATAGATATACATGTATACCAAATTTATTATATGACTTTAGAATATTTCTCAAAAGATTTTTTGTTTTGGCATAAAAACTAGATAAGCTCCCTAGATTTTTTATTTTATTTTTTTTTTTTTTTTGACAATTGCAAAAACACAACAAAAACAAGATCTACAGAAGAGATAGGTTAGTCCGGTATTGTCTAGCAATGTCATTTGCTCTTTGAACTTGCTCTCTGGGAACCTTTAAGATAGTGCATCGCTAGAAAGTCGCCCCCACTTCCCTAATCCCTTTTAGAATCCAAGTTGTCGTAATTTCGTTGCCCGTCTTTTCCTTTAGATTATTAACCAAGAGGCTCGAGTCAGAAAGAATAAGGATCCCATTCTCACCCTTATCTCGCGCCCACTTTAAGGCCTCCAGACAAGCCCAAGCTTCACATTGAAAAGCGGACACTGCTGCTCCCTGATCACCTCCCTTCTCCAGCACATGACCATGCGCATTAGGCTTAACCACCCACCCTTTCCCACGATCCATCTATTTCCACAATGAAGTTATCAAAACCTATTTTTCTTTTCCTAACTGAACGTAGTTAAAACCTGGTGGTATATTTATGTCTTCGCCACTCGTCTCCTCCACCCCATCGGTAACGTGAGTCCGATTGGCGAAGGTCTCGTGATCCTTCATAGCAAGGGTTATACCTTCCAAAATACAATTTAGGGTTCCCTCCCCTCCTTTGAACACTCTCTCATTCCTAGTTTTCCACATACTCCAAAGAGTTGCAATGAACAAAACATTTCGAATACTATACTTACCATCCTCGCTGTGAAAGAGCAGGATATAGTGTTGAATCCATTTTTGCACTGAAATGGATTCTGAAAAATCATGGCAAATGTTCAGGGGGCTGTTCTCCCAAACCTCCTTTTCCTGATTGCACATCCTAAACAGGTGTTGGCCATCCTCATCGCCCACCCTACAATGATCACACTCCGTATCAATAATTACCCCCCGCCTTGCCAGATTCACTTTAACAGCAATGCTATCATGAAATACTCTCCACAAAAAACATTTTCATTTTGGTTGAATCCCCATTCTCCATATCAACTTAATGAAATGTTGATCCCTAGCCGAAAAAGACGTACTTTCCAACCCCAAGTCCTTCGATAAGAAGTAGTATCCAGTTTTAACAGTATACCTTCCGGATGGGTGGTATTTTCAGTAGAGGAAGTCGTCCTCATTCGCCTGTAGAAGTTCCCATTGAATGAATGGATTTTGCCCAATCCCATTCAAAACATTCTCTCACTTTCCTTGCCTTCCAAGAGTTAGTATCATTATCAATAAAATCGCTTACCTTCCGATTCCAGGCAGCCTTTAAAGTTTGGCCTGACTTAACAACAGGGATCTCCCCTTTAACCCACGGCATACTAATTGCCGAGATGCTGTTACCATTCCCTACTTTCCAAGCAAAGCCTCCCTGAAAATATCGCTAACCTTTTGGATGCTAGATCTCCCCATTAACGAATTTCCCTTTTTTCCATAGAGACAATCAATACTATTAGAACCCCTTGCAAGGAATCCCTTATAGACTCTAGATAGAAGAAGCTGGGGGTTGTGATGCATCCTTGTTGCTTGTTTGAAGATTAGAGCATTATTGAAGTTGAAAGAACCCCTGATTCCCAACCCACCCATGCTCTTAGGGAGCTGTGTGACACCCCTACTTACCCAGTGTAAACCTTTTTTACCACTCTTGGCCCACCAAAACTGAGTAATCAGGGAATCAATCTTGTTAACAATGCTCAGAGGAAGTTTAAGGCACTTCATAACATGAGCAGACATGCTTTCCAATACCGTGTTAATGAGGATTAACTTTGCCGGTTGAGAAAGCTGGAGAGACACCCATGATGTAATTTTTTCCGCCACCCTGTCCACTAAAAATTGGAAATGCGGTCTCTTCTTCCCCTTGATGTCAATCGGAGCTCCCAGATGGATTCCCATATTATCAGTCTCAGGCATTAACAGTGCTTGTTTCACAACCAATTTTTTGTCGTATTCAAACCCTGGGGAGAATTTGATCACTGACTTTTGTAGTTTTAGTTGCTGACCAGATGCTTTGCCAAACCTTTGAAGAATATCGGAGATACAGGAGCAATAATCCTTATCAGCTTTGAAAAAAAGCATAGCATCATCTGCAAAGAAGAGGTGAGAGATCGAAGGTGGCCTCCTCGACACCTTTAAACCACGGAATTGGCTTATGTCCTCTGCCAGAGTCAACATTCTTGAAAGAATATCCATACAGAAAATAAACAAGTACGGGGAAAGAGGATCCCCTTGTCTCAAACCACACTTAGGAACAAAGTGTTCGGAAACTTTCCTATTGATAATCGTTTTGAAACTCACCGTTGAGACGCACTGAGATAGCATTCTGATCCAGTGACTAGAAAATCCATAAGCCCCTAGAATCTTCATGAGAAACAGCCAATCCACTCTATCATAAGCTTTGAACATGTCAATCTTAACTGCTGTAAAATTCGAACCCTTCTTTGAATTGATCAGGTGCATTAGCTCCCTAGATAAGGATAACAAATCACAGTAATTTCTACAATGAAAATGGAAATAAATCACAGTGGTAACAAATTTTACAATAACTTCAGACAGCACAAAGATCAAATCTCACAATGATCTAATGTTACCATACATTACAAAAACTCATATCAATTATCTTAGGTAACTAAGATTAAAAAGATTACTCTATTTATTTCATGATAATGTCAATGTAAGAGTTTGACCATCTATATATACACACTATAATAATAATAATAAAAATACTCAAAGGATATAGTTAATATTATCAAATGATAGTGAAAAAGGTCAAAATGTTATTATGGAATAGAGGGAGTATCATCGAACAAAGTCTTATGCAAAATTAAGTGTATTTTTATTAAAGTAAATACACCCAATAGTAAAGTAAATACTCCCTCTATTTTTATTAAGCGTATCATTTCTCTTGGCACACATACTTATGCAAAATTTTGACTAATAATTTCTTTAATATCAATAAGTAAAAATTATCACTATTGAATATTAATAAAATTATTCATTAAAACAATTTCAACAAATACCCACAAAACTATATTTTCTACTAATTGTCAACGTGAATTAAGTAAATAGTGCAAAAAGTCAAATATTACCCTTAAAAAAAACAGAGGAAGTATAATATTTAGTTAAGCTAATACTTACAAGAGTTTTTACTAATTGTTGAATTAAATATAGTAATTAAAATAATGAATAAAATAATGATAGTCAACCAATAGCTCTTAAATGAGCTCTATAAGCTGAAGGAGTGACACGTGCAATTTCTCTCTCTAAGTTTCTCTCTCTAGAAAGAGAGATGACATGAGCTGGAGGGAGAATCCGTGTGTGGAATTCGAGCTGTAATTGAAAGACTCATTCACCTCTTCTTCCTTTCTTTCGTTCCCTATAAATACACCTTCACATCTTCACAATTTCATCGCAAACTTATTATTTTTGTCTCAACATTACTAGTAATATACTTACTGCTACTTACTAGTTAATTTTATTATCATCATTCTTATTCTTATTCTTATTCATTCTTTCTCTTATATATTTATAATTAACAAAACTCACTACTATATTTATACTCACAATACAAAAAAACATATAAAAATGGTGATCATTTTGGTAGCTTTTGTTACATTAGGTGCAATTTTGATCCTCAACTATGCCCTGAAATCCCCTGTTTTCGTCTTCTCCGGTCACCGCTTTCCTAAACTATCCCTTCCTCCGGGTACCTTAGGATGGCCTTACATAGGCGAAACTTTCCAACTTTACTCACAAAACCCAAATGTCTTCTTTGCCAACAAAGTTAAAAAGTTAGTCATTTTTTCTTTTTTTTTTTGTGTGTTACCTATCTTTTTTTTTTAGGCAATATGTTATTTTCGGATAATAATTAGGTACTAAACTTCTCTGTTTTATTTTTGTTATAGGTATGGTTCCGTGTTTAAGACACACATATTGGGTTGTCCATGTGTGATGATTTCTAGCCCGGACGCGGCTAAATTTGTTCTATCAACAAGATCAAATTTGTTTAAACCAACATTTCCTGCTAGCAAAGAAAGGATGTTGGGTAAACAAGCTATCTTTTTTCACCAAGGTGATTACCATGCCAAACTTAGGAAACTTGTTCTTCAGTCTTTCATGCCCGGCGCTATCAGAAGCTTTGTTTCTGATATCGACTCGATTGCCTCACAATCCCTTAAGTCTCTTGAAGGATCCTTCATCAACACCTTCCAAGAGATGAAAACTGTAAGTTCACCCAGAAAAAAAATATGTAGTTCAGAATACATTCGGAACACGACATTTACTGGTTCAGATTGTATTCTGAATGTGACAACTAATTCCGAACAGTAATCCTTTACGGATATTTTTGTATTTATGTAAATTGGGATATTTATTTTTTTAATTTTTGTTGTTTGCAGTACACATTCAATGTGGCTCTGTTGTCAATATTTGGAAAGGATGAGGTGAATTACAGAGAAGATCTAAAGAGGTGTTACTACATATTAGAAAAAGGGTATAATTCAATGCCAATCAATTTACCAGGAACACTTTTCAATAAATCCATGAAAGCTAGAAAAGAATTGGCCCAAATATTGGCCCAAATCATATCAACTAGAAGAGAGATGAAGAAGGACCACCAAGACTTGCTATCCTCCTTTATGGGTGACAGAGAATCCCTCACCGACGAACAAATTGCTGACAACGTCATTGGTGTCATTTTCGCCGCAAGAGACACTACTGCCAGTGTCCTTACTTGGATCCTTAAGTACCTCGCGGACAACCCCTCCGTACTTCAAGCAGTCACGGTATATACACACATACACTAATTATTATTTTCAACGTACTTCCAAATCAATCATATTTATAATTTTACCGACTGGTAATCCTCTTCTGCGACACTGTAATTAAACAGTCGTTCAGTAAGAGACTACATACGCGGTCGTAATTGATCTTATCTATCAAAATAGGAACTAGTAAAAGTTTTCCAAATGTTAAGGTTATGTGGGGCTGATAAAAAGATTTGTGGATTGGTGACATCTTTTCAGGAAGAACAAGAAGCAATAATTAAAGAAAAAAAGGAGAATGGAGAAGAAAAGGTACTTTGTTGGGCAGATACCAAGAAAATGCCCTTAACAATAAGAGTATTCCAAGAAACATTAAGGGTAGCATCAATTTTATCCTTCACTTTTAGGGAAGCTGTTGAAGATGTTGAGTATGAAGGTCAGTATTTTTGTTTCCTACCCTAATTAGTTTTCCCACTTTTTATTTTCTCTCTCTAACAATTTTTTTTTTTTTTTTTTTTGGATTATAGGGTACCTAATTCCTAAAGGGTGGAAAGTACTCCCATTATTCAGGAATATTCACCATAGTCCTGAAAATTTCCCTGAGCCTGAGAAGTTTGACCCCTCTAGATTTGAGGTAATTATCCAAAGTTTCTCTCTTTTATTTTTACTTGTTTTAAAATTAAATAATTACTCGTACATACTTGAAATAAAATCCTTACTAGGAGTATATCAAGGTTATGTTTCACCAACCCCTTTAAAGGTTGATAACACGACTTTATTTTCATCTATTTAGATTAAGTTTATCTTTTTGAATCAATTCAAATATTACTTAATCCGACGCTAATTTCTCATAATAATCTCAAATAACATTCACAGAGTATTTGAAATAAAATACGTAATTTTGATATTATATACTTAGTATTTGAATTTTAGCAAGTTGGTTGACCAATCTTGCTAATAAGTTTACTCATGATTTTCATGATCTACCTATGTTGCATATCTTCGTATTTCCATGAATTTAATTTAATAGAATCAAGTCAAATCAAGATTTTGTACTCAAAAGTGTTATTTTTATTTTGTACAGGTGGCACCAAAACCCAATACATTCTTGCCATTTGGCAGTGGGATCCACTCATGTCCTGGCAATGAACTGGCAAAGCTAGAGATTCTTGTTATGTTACATCACATAACCACAAAGTACAGGTACATTTTTATCACTATTCTCTAACTTAATTTTTTTTTTACATAAATAAAAATAAAATAAAATAAAATAAATGATTAGTTTCTATAAATAGTGTATTTAATGTTCAAAAAAAAAAATAGTTATGATATTTTTCTGATCATGGGTTTTATTTTTTTGCAGATGGTCTATCATTGGCCCACAAAACGAAATTCAGTATGGCCCATTTGCACTTCCCCAGAATGGTCTTCCCATTAAATTATCCCTCAAAAGTCAAGATTAACTTAAAGTCCTAAAATTGGGACCTTATCTAAGCTATTTTGATCAAGAGGATAACCAAATTAGATGATATTGGATTTGAGATGAGGAAAACAATCTTTATTGATTTCCAAAGTGTTTTCAAAGTCTGGAATTCCGGATGAGAAAAAATAATGAGTAAAGTAGAGTCGACAACTCTCATTAAACGGATTGGATTATGTTCTTTATTTTATGGTTTGAAGTGAACGGAAGAGATCAAGAAAGGAACCAACCTTCAAGGAAATAAATAGTAAAAGGGAAATAAGGGCTTGTTTGGTTGCACAAAGAAAACGGGAAAGTGGAAAATCATGGGAATTGGAAATTAGATGAGTTGTTTGGTTGACAATAAAAAATGTAAATGTGGGAATTGCAAATTTATGGGAATTGTGACTTCTCATAAAACATGGGAGGTTAATTACCTAACCCCCCTAGATAAGTCAAAATTCCCATAATTTGCAACTTCCTTGATCCCAACCAAACAGTTTAGACAATTCCTAGGAATTGGATTTAGGTATTTAATTCCCATAAAATACAAATTCCCATATCAAACAAACAACACCTAAGAAGAGAGGAGCCAGAGCAATTGTACAAAAGGTTCTCCTAATAGCAACAAATTTTGAAAGGAACTTTCATAGTTTCAAGCTATAGTAGTTTAATAGTAACCATTATATTTTTTATTATTTCTTTGTATTACCCCTAATTATTTTTAGACTTTAATTCTTTCCTAAGGGTAGGGAAAAAAAACAAGAAGTCCGTAAGGAATAATTCTTGAAAAATTGTATATTTAGATTAGATCGTGTTGATCAGAGTAGTGTGATTTTTACAAGATGCCGCAAGGCAAGTGAATGAGAAATTCTATTGACAATAAGTTTCTTACCTTTGCATTTATTATTTTTTGGTAGAGTGACTATAAGTTTCGTGATAACGTAATTTCAAAAAAACAAAAAAACAAAAAAAAAAAAATAGCCACACTAAATATGTGATTTAATATTATTAAGTAATACTCTTATTTAACACACACACAAAAATAAAAATAAAAAAAATAAAATAAAATTAAAAAAAAAAAAAAAAACACTGCAGTAACTTGCCATCTTCTTTATAACTACTACCCCGTTTTTATTATGTGCAACAAAAAAATATTTTATGTCTCACAAATAATACCTCTTTGTTACACATAATAAGAAACGGAGGTAGTGATTTTTGTGCAAAGTGCATAGCTACAGGTATAATTGATTGAAATTGTAATTTTCTCATCAAAACTTTGTTTCTCTAATCTATGCAAACTATTTCCTTGCTGATACTCAAATTCTTACTAATCAAAAATTATTATTTGTTGAACCAAGTGTTTTGTTATATGTGAAAGTAGAATTTTGCAAACAAAAACAACTGTCTTTTGCCTTAAAAAATTTACAGTTATGAATTAACATAAATTTGCACAAAAATAAATTTTAGTGATTTACTCCATACAATTTATGTTTATAGTTTTTTCTAAAAAATTTAAACAATAGAAAATTGTAAATATGTTGACATAAACAGGTGGAGCCAATATATAATAGAGTCTTATCCTACTTCATAATCACTTAAGTTTTACTAAAGTAAAATTGTGATTGTTGGTTAAAACTATTTTTTACTATTGACACTGTCCTCAAATAGAAGCCTCATTTTACCCAAGATTTTTTTCTCTCAAGGTCTCATCATTTTGCCTTTGATCAATATAATCGAACACCACTACCTTCTTTTTTATTATTCAATTTAAAACAATGAAACTTCACTATCTTCTTTAATTTTATTTAGGAAAAATTGTTATTATTAATCCCAACTTTAGGCCAATTACTTTAATTAATCCCAACTTTCGATTATTTTTTAATAATCCTAACTTTGAGGGGCATTTTCTTCTATAAGGTCATGACCGGTCAACAAAAGTCAACGACCTATTATAACAGATTACTTGACACGTGTTAAGACCTGAATTGGTCCAAAAAAATAAAATGTTAAAAATAATTTTTGTAAAAAATTAAAAAATGAAAAAATAAAAATAAAACTACCACCAGCCCCCTCCACTTACCAGAAAACACCCCATTTCATCCCTTCCCCCCGGGCTCGTGGGAAAACACCCATCAACTAATATATATATATATATATATATATATATATATATATATATATATATATATATATATATATATATATATATATAAGGGTCGGGATACGGTTAGAACTACCTTTATGTGAGAACACTCCTAATATATGAGAACAAATCTAAGTCTTTGGATCAAACGATATCAACGGCTCTAATAAATCCAAACTTTTGATATCAAACGATATACTGCTGCTACTCAGAAAAACAGAGCAAAGAACTACGAGCTTCAATTTCAATGAGATTCAAGAATTTCGAACACAATTCCGTTCGATTTTTGTCAGATTTCAGCAGTAACAAGAATCACTAGCTTCATAGAATATACAGGTAAATAATCAACAAAAGTTATGTTAGTTTTTTCCGAATGTAATTTTCTTAATTTTTGTCAGTATTTTCGAATTTCATGGTTTGAATATTGGATTTTCGTTAAAATTTTAGCAATGAGTGATCTTAGCATCAAAATTTACAAAATATTTTTCAATTGCATGTTAATCTTAGTGTTTGATTTTAGTTCGAATTATTTCGTTAAAATTTTGGATAATTTTCGTTAAAATATCCGATTAAATTCGTTAAAATTCAATGAGAAATTTTCGATTTGATGAGAAATTTTCGATTTGAGTATTTAAGAACTATTAAATTGCCTGTTAATCTTATTATGTCCAGTTGAATGAGCTCAATTTTCGATTTGAGTATTTCAATTGAAGGTATGTAAATTGAGCATATATAATTAAAATGAGCAAAAAGAATTAAAATGAGCAAATACAAAAAATAAAATAAAAAATGAGCAACTATAAAAGAGCAAAGTAAGCTGTGTTGTTGTGGTACAATCGTTCTTGTGTTGTTATTTTAAATTTGAGTGTCATTGTTGCGTTCTTGTTGTTACTTTAGGGGTTTATGTTTCTTGAAATTTCTTACCACTCGAAACTGTATTAGTAACCCTAATTTAGTTTTGCTGGCATTCATGTTGTTTTCTGTAAATTACTTGAAATTGTTTTACAAGTTTGATGGTTTCCTCACTTTCCTGTTTGTTGTATATGGTGGTGTTTTTGGATTTTCTACGTGTTGCTGTATGTGGTGGTGTTTAAGCTTCTTGGTTGTTCAAGTGTTCAGGGAGTAATTGTCTGTGAAGCCCTGGCTCATTTTCTACTGCCATTCATGTTGCCTATTTAGCCAATTTAGGTCTCCCAATTTCTTTCTTGATCTGTATGACTATATCCTACTTGAATTATTATATTTCTTCATTATAATACTTAGACTTCTCTATTAATATGAATTTTCTGTTTCCTATTTTTCTGTGTACGTGTGGTATGATCTTTTGTTAATTCTTCACAATTTGGACTTGGTCGTTATTTATGAGTATCAGCTTATAAACATGTTCTGTAGGCTAACTTTCTAAATAATTGTATTTCATAATCTAGCAATGAGAGATGGTGAAGTGTGGAATTGTTGGAGGAAGCTATTATGTGGAATTCCAAGAAGTGCCATTTTCTTGCCATTTCTAACTTGTAGATGGTGTTATCTAGTCTCCTCTTTTTTTTTTTTTTTAGGATGTATTGAAGAATTAAATGTTTTTGGCATCTGAAATTTTGGATCTAATCTCATATGTTTAGTATACTACTGGTTTTGTCTGGTGTTAAAAGAAGTTGCTTGCTCATATATGTTGTTTTATGTAATTAGATGCTTGGTTTTCATGTAATGGATGCAGCTCGCTTCTACCTCATTACGTTGTGTCTTGATCTTTCACATGCAGGAGAATTAAGTTATTCAGGGAAAGAGTGGGTTTAATAGCTTCATGGGTATGAAATTTCTGAACTCTAGATTCTAGGGGTTTTGTGTGTGAGGGGGGGGGGGGGGGGGCTTAGTTTTTTTATAGGAAACAAAGTTATGAATTGACAAGATGTAGTTATTTGTTTGATTTCATTTTTTCCTTTGATGTTTCAGTAGCTCCAAAGTATCTGTTGAAAATTAAAGGCCTCTGGCTGTGTTTTACGACGGTGTGAAACTGGTGAGAAAGGCATTCAAAACAAGTTTCATAGTATAATCCTATTGTTCTTTAGTTGATCTATTTTTCTTTTCTTTTCTTGAGTTCCTGTCTCTAAAGTGGGAAACCACAAAACCAAACAAACTCAATCATAGAGGTCAAAGGCAGCTTACTATCAATTACTTTCTAAAAATATTAGACATGTTTGTGTTATACATATATTGATTGACCTGATATATTTGTCTAGAACTGGATAATTCCTTCTCGATCTTTATAACCCCAACCTCAATTCCTTTACACACATAAGCATCTGTATTAATCTTCATCACGCTAGCCCAGCGATAGCTTGTGTTATACTTGCTAACTATTAGCTAAGTTGTGCTTTAGTTGCAATGATGCAGTGATAGACGAGCAATTGTTCTTCTTTAGGTATGATTTTGGTTTTTTAATGTATCTTTGATTTCATTATTTTCTAGATCTTATTTTTTATTTTCGCTTGATTTGGGTGTGAATAGATTTGCATTGATTGGAATCGGAATCACAAAAAAAATCAAATAGAACTGCTGTCATCATGCATATTAAGTTCATAATTGTTGATGTTTCAGGTACTTGTATGGGGATCTATATGCAAGTAATAATATATGGGCAACTACTGAGAATCCAACAAACTGTGAAAACCTTAGCACAATAGCAATTAATGCCGTTTAGTTGTGTAAGAGACTCACCACTTCAGTGTAGTGCTATAGGAACTACACTTCCAGCTATGGGATACGTATATTCATTTGCGCAGGAAAACTAGAAAGATGTTCTCAATCTAACCAGCACCGGAGTTTACAGAGTTGTTTGCCCAAGCCGTTGCAACTATGCTTACTCAAAGGAGACTGCAAGGCCTGCCACTAGTCCAACTCCAAGTCCATCATCCCCTTCAAGGGAAGCTCATTCTCTTGCACCTCTTAGAGATTGGCTCTCCTTTCTTCTCTGCTTCCTGATTCAGCATTTATTATTTTGAGCAGTGTTTCAATTGCATTCAGCTAGGATAGTCATATACTCGTATAGATATATATAGTTGTTTGTATCTCCGTAGGTTTGAGAAGAATGTTAAATTTTTCGAGATACACATTATTGTAATTGGGAGTGTGTGTGTGCGTATATATATACATTAATCTTGTTACATTTCAAACTTTAGTATATTATAATTAAAATAAAGCTGCAATAAAATTAAAAAAAGAAAAAAAAACCCCGGAGAAAAGGTAGGGGTTCATGGAGAAACCGCTACCTCTAAGTTGTACAAAATCAAATTCGTACTAAATTATATGAGATAAAAAATGGTTTGAAATGATTTATAACTATATAAACTTTGTTATAATTAAACTCTCATACAAACTTGTGTCTCCACATTACATAAATGAACCTACGTGGGATTCGAACCCACATCTTTTGTGCATTTGCACAATGCTCTACCCTTGAGCTAGTAGGCTAACATATTTAAAACATACAAACACACTCACGAATGAGCATTAATTTGACAAAATGAGCAAGAATCATTTGCTCATTTGATAAATGAGCAAAAATTAATCGCTCATTTGACAAATGAGCAAAAAATAATTGCTCATTTGACAAATTATTTGCTCATTTTGACATTATTTGCTCATTTTTGAAAAATTAGTAAAGAATGAATATTAATTTTTGACAAAATGAGCCAAAATTATCTGCTCATTTAGCAAATGAGCAAATAGTTAGTTGCTCATTTGTCTAATGAGCAAATACTTATTTGTTAATTTAACAAATGAGCAAACATTTATTTAATCATTCATTAAATCAACAAGCATTTATTTGCTCATTTGTCAAATGAGCAAATAATTAGTGACTCATTTGTAAAATAAGCAAATATTTCTTTAATCATTTGGGAAATGAGCAATAAATTTTTTGCTCATTTAGCAAATGAGCAATAGCTAGTTGCTCATTTGTAACAGATATATGTCCTTTCCAATGGTAGCATATGTAATCTACAGACATCACAAGGAGACAAATTATCCAACAAGGCATACATAAGGGACACTAGGATAGGAGCATCAACAGATTAATTAATAGCAGCAGCATATAACATGTCTGTCTTGATGTAAATAAGACTAAGGAAAAGGATGCAGCAAGGATAACCTGTTTATTGATACAAACTGAGCCAATTCCTGCGATATGGCAAATATCTCTCCAGAAGCATGTCGAAAGTACCTGTAATACATAATGTTTGGGTCCAATTTAGTCCAATTGGGCCTAGGCATTAAATGATCCAATTAAAAGCCCAAGGTCAAGGTTCAACTCTCCAATTGTGCTAAAGTCAAAGATCAGCCCTCAAAGCAAGCCAATTGGGCTAAGGCCCAATTTCTCCATGTATGAAGAGGTATAAAAGCCATCAATATTACATCTTTACATGGATTCATATAGTCACATTCATTCACATATTCTCATATATTCTCATAACTCAAGAAAAGCCTCAAGCAACTAAATTCTCTTGCATAGTGTTCTCTTTCTACACATTGTACTGACTTTAGCATCGGAGGGGCCTTCCTCGGCAACACCCCCGAGGCTAGTTTACGTGTGTTTACTGTGCAGGAAACCTTCGGCCCAACATTACTTGGACCGAATCCAGTCTTCTCCGTTTCAGCGGACCTTCGGCAAGGTCCCATTGTTTTCACCCGAAACAATTTGGCGCCGTCTGTGGGGAAGACTTTCAAAAATCTTTAAGCCAAATTTCTAACCAAGATCATCTTGCAATTATCTTAGTAGCAATGGCTAAGAACCCCAAGAGCAAAAGCCTCCGTCAAGGAGCGGGCGAAAAGCCTAAAACCCCTACACCATCACCCTCGCCGGACCGGAACTCTCCCAAGGGTGCCAGCTCGGGGGGAGGATCATACAAGGAGGATTCCCTTTCTCCCGTAATTCATGACTCTCATCATAGGTCGAGTCACTCTCGGTCTAACAGGGGTGAGTCCGATCATAGGACACATTCAGTGCCCCAAAGCCAACCATCGGCTGTGCGCCCTCATTCCCATACTCGGCCGAGGACCCCTTTGACGGGGCCCAGCTCGGATGAGGTGGCAAGAGCGCTGGCAGTACTCATGGAGGCGATGAGGGAACAAAATATGCCACCACCTCGTGATCGAACTCCTCCGCATACCCGGCATCAGCGGAGGAAGCTAGACCATGATGGTGGGAAACTTCCTTCCTTCCGGGAAATGGAAGAGTGGGAAGAGGATTCCTGGAAAAATGAAAAAGAGAGGAAAAAGAACCCTCAATTTTTAAAAGGATCCTCATCCTCACGACTAGAAGCGCATAAGAGCAGCAGCTCAGCTTCTCGGCCAGAATCTACTCACCGAGAACCTGAGACTGTTCGCCGAAGCGTCCTCGACCGACTCGGCGGCAAGGAACCGAGCGTGCACAGTCGCCTCTCGTTCCCTGCAGCCGAGGCCCAGACTTCCCAGCCAGGGACGAAAACCACTCCTACCTCTTTAAGAGGGCGGAGCGCGGTCCCTTCGGCCAGAAACAAGGGCAAGGCCGTTATGCTACCCGCCAGTTCACCATTCGAGCAATGGATACTGGAAGAGCGCGTGCCCACGGTTAAAATACCGTCGCACATCACATATGACGGGACCTCGGATCCGAAGGATCACGTGGCCTCGTATGAGACTCATATGCATCTTTGCCCCAGATCCGAAGCGACTTGGTGCAAATATTTCCCAACCACTCTCAAGGGGGTCGCGCAAGCGTGGATCTCCAAGGGAGTAAAGCAAGGCTCCATAATAGGGTGGGATGATCTGTCCTCCAAATTTAGGAGCAAGTTTTCCACGGCAAACCGCCGAGAGAAGACTACTGCAGAACTCATGAGTCTACAACAGGGGGAAACCAAAAGCCTCCGAGACTATCTGACCCGTTTCAGTAACGAGTCATCCAGCGTCTCTCAGCTGGACCAGGGGCTAGCCGTTTTTGCGATGCAGAATGGCCTTCAGCCCGGAAAGTTCCTAGACTTCATGGTCATGCATACCCCGCAGACCTTGGAGGAAGCTCTGAATGCCTCGGATAAGTTCATCCGAGCCGAAGAATGGAACAAAGCGAAAACCCAACCTCAATTTGGGGGAGGGAAACAAAGACAAATACCCTTATCTGAAGGCCAAGGCCAGAAGGCAAAGGGAAAGTCAAAGGCCTCAGAGCAATCTTCGGCCAGCGACCCAAAGAAGGAAAGATCTGCCTCATACACAGGCAGATACGAGTCCTACACTCCGCTCTCTCTTCCACGCGCCAAAATTTACAGCGTGACGAAGGAGGAGCAGAGTTACCGAAAGCCGAGACCACTCCCAGAGTGGTATCAGCGAAAAAATAAAAATCAGTGGTGCGAGTTCCACGAGTCTTCGGGACACAACACTGAGGAGTGTATCCAACTGAAGGACCAGATAGAGGACATGGTCCGGAAGGGATACTTGAAAAAATACATCGCGGATCACCGCGAGAAAAAAGAATCCGAGAAGTCAGCAAAGGACTCTCGGCAAGACCTTGACTTCCCTCGGAAAAACAGTAAAAAAGCCGGAGGGGAAATTCCCTCCGATCAATGTTATCTCGGGAGGAATATACTCTCGGAGGGAGCACAAGCGACACCTTAGAGCTTTGACTCACCAGGTGAACAACGCTAACATTCAATCTCCCCAGTCGCCGGTGCCGAACATGACGTTCATAGCCGCCGACTGCCGGGGGATTACGTTCCCTCACGAGGATCCGTTGGTGATCATTGCCACGGTGGCCAACCACGACGTCAGTAAGGTCCTTGTTGACGGTGGCAGCGGAGCAAACATTCTGTTCCGAAAGGCCTACAATCAAATCAAGCTGAAGCCCAAGCACCTTACGCCGGTACCCTACCCGGTATCCGGGTTCAACGGGGCTTCAACTTATCCAGATGGGAAGGTGACACTTCCTGTCACCATCGGCTGCGATGAGGCAGCCAGGAACGTCATGATTGAATTTTTGGTCATTGACGCTCCTTCAGTGTACAACGTGATATTGGGGAGATCCATAATTCATGAGATCCAAGGGGTCGTCTCAACTTATCATCAGCTGATGATTTACGTCTCAGACGCCGGCTTCCCCGAAAGGATACAGGGCAACCAAAAGGACGCCCGAAGGTGCAACTACCTCAAGCCATCCAGTAGTCGCCCAGATGACGACAAGGATGAGGAGGAGAAAGAAAAAGAAAGAGAGCCAAGCACAAAAAAGCCGAAAGGCCTAAGTGCTTCGGCCCAAGGATCTGTACCCAGAGGTAAAGGGCCCGAAAGGGAAAAGGCTAGCTCTTCAGCTGAGCCGCAAGACTCAGAGAGCCAGCCGAAGAAAAAAAAGACTGGGACACCTGCTGACATTGGCAGCAGGCCAGATTATGAAGAGTCCCGTCCATCAGCAATGGACATGGACCAACAGACTGAAACAGTTTAGTTGGCCGAAGGAGACGTTGAGAAATGTGTAACAATCGGGATGGACCTTGATCCGAACACCCGTTGTGAACTTATTCAGCTCCTTCGGGACAACAGAGATGTGTTTGCTTTCTCGGCAGCTGATATGCCCGGGATAAGTTCAGACCTCATCTCCCATAAGCTTAATGTTGACCCAACGTGTCGACCAGTTAAGCAAAAGAAGCGGAATTACTCCGCTAATAAGAACCGAGACATCGCAGCCGAGGTCAAAAAATTGCTGGAGGCAGGATTCATTGAACCTTGCCAATATCCAGAATGGCTGGCAAATGTGGTGATGGTTCAGAAGCCCAATGGTACCTGGAGGATGTGCGTTGACTTCACGGACCTAAATAAGGCTTGTCCGAAGGATTTCTATCCCTTGCCGAGGATCGATCAGCTAGTCGATTCGACAAGTGGCCATGCCTTGCTTAGTTTCATGGACGCATTCTCGGGGTATAATCAGATCTTCATGCACCCCGACGATCGAGCAAAGACAGCATTCGTCACGAACGCTGGGGTGTACAATTACAAAATGATGCCCTTCGGATTGAAAAATGCGGGGGAAACCTATCAAAGGCTGGTGGATCAAGTTTTTGCCGATCAAAAGGGCCGAAACATGGAAGTCTATGTCGACGATTCGATCGTCAAAAGCAAAAAACCTGAGGACCATGTAAAGGACCTGGCTGAAACT